AAGAGGACACGGGGTGCTTGCAGGGGGCTGGCAGTGTTGTTTCTCGATGTGAGAACTGGTTCCCTATTTATAAAGTGGGAAAATATTGATACCTATTTCATGGGATTGTTGTGAGAATTGAATGTTTTAATCCATGGCGTGTAGTAATTGTTCAATAAATGTTAACTATTGTTAGTATAAGCTTTCTAGGGAAGGAGAGGTCACTGTGTGGGAAGTCTGCTGTGAAGAAGTGAGCCCTGAACTATTTCATAGGTCCAGGACCCTGGATGCTACCCTGTCCCTTGTTTCCATCTCTTAGATTGTTCTTGGCAATGTTTGGTTGCCTGCCTGACTCCCCTGGAGCTCCTGTGGGTGTTCCAGCCTTGGTGTTTTATTCCTCATCCTCTTCTTTCTCTTCTCCTAGTCCCTGGCCCTGCCAGCTGCTGGTGATTCTCCAGTGCTTCTGTTTCTGCCCGGGTCCCGTTCCTCGTGCTGCCCTTCTACCTGGCCTGCCTTTCTCTCTCCTCTAAGCTGGGTAAAGTTTTCTCTCAGCATCCACCGTGCCATCCACGTAGTAGGTGCTTTATAAAACTCTCTTGCTGCACTAAAAACCAGGCTCTGCGCCCCATGGACATGGCCCCCGTGCCCAGGCGCTGACCCATGCTGAGCTCAGTTTCTATTCAGGGCTTTGATTTTCCTGGTAGGCCTGGCATGTCAAGGGCCATAGTTTTCCTTACCATTCTGGAGCCACCGGGCTTCTGGGTAAAGCTGTCTGGCCAAGAGACACAGGCTTTCATTTTTCAGAGAGGAAACCCTTCCCAACTGGTGGAAAATAAGCTTTTGCTTAGTGACTAATAACATAAACACAGACAAGATTTCTGGGCTTATAAATAACCAGTTGTAAAAGTGCCCAAGGGAAGCAGCCCTTTTTGCTAGAAGAATGGCCAAGAGTATTCCTGTCACCTCGCTGATAGTGACCTTAACTACGGGCAAGGAGCCTTGGGCTGAGGGTGCAGAAGCTGGTCATTTCTCAGTATGAATTTCCAAAGCCGTGCTCTTATACATTGTGAATCCTGGACTATTCTGGAAAAATAATAGATAATCTCTTAGATCTTTCCTGCTTGAAAATGCTGCGATTCTGCGGCAGCCACGACATGTTTTAAAGAGCGATGCCAGTAGGGAGAGGAAAGTCTTAGGGCTTTGTTTTGCCAGAGCTGCCTGAGGGGCAGATGAAGTAATTATGAGAGTAGCTTCCATTTATTGAGCAGGGGCCGAGGCTCTGTGCTGAGGGCGCTAGACCCGTGGCTCACTGAGTCCCCCGGTAACTGCGTGAGGAAATTATTAGCCTCATTGGACTGATGAGGAGAGTGTGGTTCAGCGGGATTAAAGTATGTGAAGAGTAACCTAGCGGCTGAGAGCTTAGGTCTGCAGTCTGACTTCCCGGGCCCAGTCCTGGCTCTGCCGCTTGCTTTCTGTAGCCATGGCAATTAGTAGTCACCTTGTTGTACCCAGGTGTTCTCATCTGTAAAGCGAGGGCGGTCATAGTAACAAACCCATGTGACATAACTCATGCAAAATGGTTATCAGCATGGTGCCTGATGTCGTGGGCCTACATCAAATGTTGCTGTTAAATAAGAAAGGGCAGAAGAAGCTTCATCGGTAACACCACGCGGCCTCTGTGATGAATCACTGATGCTCCAAATCCGGAAACCTTGTTTTCTCTTAGCTAATTTAAGGTTACAATCAGGGCCTTGACCATGAGACTTGGGCTGCTTCTTATGGTGGGGGGTGGGTGGGCATGATGTCCCAGAGCCAGGCCCGGCTGCTTGGACGGTTCTCGGACCAGGCTGCTCACTGGCCCTGCCTGAGACAGTGAGGGCCAGTTTCATCACTCTGATGTCGTCTCATTCATCCAGTGTTTCCCAAACTGGTCCCTGATTATCCTGATGAGTTCTTCTGGATGCCAGTAAGCTACTGAAATGGCCAAATAACCAGGCTCTCCAGGGGCAGTCGAGTATTGACATTTTACCTGTGTTTGACCATGGAATCCTTTTTATCTCCAGGATATCTCGCAGGACTCACGCTCCATGCAATGTGCATTTGGAGCTATTTCTCAACGCCCTGCAAGTGCAATCAGCAGAGGGGCAAAGACTGGCAACCCCAGGGGATGGGGGCAAGGGCTGGCCTGGGAGGTGGACAGGTGGACAGGTGGACAGACTCGGGGTATATTTTAGAGGCAGGACCAGCAGGATTTATTGATGGAAGCTGCTTAGTGAAATATTTGGTATGTTGGACTGTACTGAACTGAAATGTGCTTGTATCTCCTTGGTACCAAATCAGCCAGCTGGAAAGGGAAGAATCCAGCCACTGAAACAAGTCCTGTCTGCATCAGGCAGGGGACCCACACCTTCCCACAGTCCCTCAGGGGCCAGTGGCTTTGGCTCCTTTAAGGACACACCAGACTCTTTGGGGTGTGAAGCTCCTTGTTTATTTACCTGTCAAAGTACTTTCCTTCTTTCTACGTTTCTCCTTTTTCAAATTAGAAAATCCGCCGCCCTCTCCCGGGCATATCACTCTATCATTTTTGGAGCCTGAGCCGCGCACCCTGAGGCAGCCTTTCCAGTTTCCAAAGTTTATTGTTGAAAAGTGCACAACAGGCTGAAATCCCTGGCAGGAGCCAAAGCTGCAGGGTACACCGAGGCCAGCAGACGCCGGAGCAGCCAATTTTATCTGGCTGTTCTCTCCTCCTCCTCCTCCCTGCCCGCCTCCTTCCCCCTTCATTTTATCAGGGAGGTTTGGCTGGACTTGAAGGAGCCAAGAAGGAACTGGAGGGGCCTGAGCCTCTCGCGGCCAGTGACGAGGTATGGGAGGACACGGCACCCAGGCCTGGGGCAGGTTCCAGCTCAACTCACTTCTTCTTTGGTTGTGTGTGTCTGTCTGGGTCCCAGGCCCTGGAGGTCCAACAATATTGATACCAATGATAATTGCTGTCATTAGTGAGTGTGTTTTTAGCTATAAGTGTAGACCTTGTAATCATCTGACATACCTGATATCAATAAATCCTCCCCAGCGTTCTAAGAAGTAGTTACTAGTATTATTCGCGTTTTACAGTTGACTAAGCTGAGGCACAGAGAGGGCAAGTTCCCCAGAGTCATACAGCCCATCCGAGGCAGATTCAGGAATCCTACTTAGGAGTATTTGATTCCAAAACTATGGTTTTTAGCTCTCAGAGCACAGGCTCACAATCTGGGCAGAGGAAATGGGTGTGTAAGTCAGCAAATAAACCTGCACAGCTTGCAAGTGCCAGAGGCAAGTGTCGACTAGCGCAGTGAGTGGCAGAGGGGAGGCAATGTGGAAGCCACATTTGAGTCGTCTCAACTGATGGGTTGGAGTTTCCCTGGCAGGTAAGACAGGTGGGAGTAACGGCAGAGGGAAGACAGAGGCGGGAAGCAGCAGTGTGTGTGTGTGTGATTGTGAGAAACAGCAAACAGTTCCACAGGGCTTGGCATAGGAGCCCAGACGGGAATAGTAGAAGCTGATGAGATGGAAAGAGGTGGGCACAGGGCCTTCAGGGAGGGCCTTAGGTACCCTACAAAGGTTTTTGTACCATATCCCTTGGGAGTGATGGATTTCAAAACTGTTATCATTTATTTTGTCTTTGCTCAAAGGCTGGCTTATGGGAAAGCCCACAGTGTGAGACAGGTAGCAGTGGAGTGGATTTGGTTGAGTGATGATGAGGCCCAAGAGCCTGTCCTTGGTGGCCTGCCCTTCCCAACCCCCAGGCATTGGCCCCTGGCCACCTGCCTGGAACCCTGAGTTTGCACATCACTGTTAGAGAGCATCAGAATTGGGGAGAGAGAAGCATTTATAAGCATTTTGGAAGATGATTTCCTTGGTGTTGTGGAGGCTGGGTGAGAAGGACCTGAGGCTGGAGCAGGGAACCCGCTCGAGATGATTGCAGCCCCCGTCCTGGCAAACACCAGGCTGTGGCATCGCCGGCCGCTGTCCACACTGGGAGCCAGAGCGGAGCTGATTACAGCCAGCTCTTTGGGAGGCTATCTTATCTAGTGGTTCTACACTAGGTGTTTGGAGCCAAACTGCCTGATTGCAGGCTGTGTGCGTTTCTTACCGCCCCCAGGCCTCAGTTTCCTCATTTTTCAAATGGTGAAATTATAAATATTTCCCTGATAGTTTGTTGTGAGGTTTAAATGAGTTAGCACACGTCAGGTACTCAAAACTGTACACAAGCTTGGTGCATCCTAAGCGGTATGTAATTATTTACTATTAGTGTTCAAAAATCCATTTAGGAAGTTTGAATTTACTCATTTAATAAATACTGGGCCCCTACTGTATGCCAAATACTGTTCTGAGTGTGAGAATACATCAGTGAGTGAAGTAGACCAACCCTCATTTGCATTTGAACTGGGGAGACAGAATAAATTAATGCACAGAATGGATGGGTAATGGGGCTAAGGGGCCCGTGGGATCGTGGAGGACTTGGTGGGCCACATTAGAAACCTTGGGTTTTTTTTTTGAGTGAGATGGGACATCAGGAAGGTTTTGAGCAAAGAGACAAGATTAGGCACCCATCTCAGGGTCAGAGTAGCTCTGTCAGGTCTGGGTACCTGGTCTGTATCAAATGGTTACCAAACGGTAGCTGTGTTCGTCGTGACCCATTCTCCTATCCACAGGGGAGCTGTTCTCGTGGAAGGGGCTTAAGAGAAAGGACCTTGGTAAAGGGAGTCGGGTCCTCAGGAAAAAGAACCACATTTCCCTCAACACTACAAAGGCGTGTCCAGGAACAGTGGTGACGATGCCATTGTCCACCTGGCTGGACGACTCTTCCAAATCCTCGTGGTGTTGAATGGGCTGATTTGTGTCCTGATGGGTCGGTCAGTCGGTTGGTGGCACTTTGCCCTCTGCTCAGTGACATCTCCGTTGTCCTCTCTTGGACTCTCTGGAGTCATGAGTGAGCTTGTTGGACATACAGGGCATTTGTTTATTGCTGTTTCCCCATGCAGTGTTCGAGAACAAAGACAAGATTGTGATCATCATGGAGTACGCGAGCAAAGGGGAGCTGTACGACTACATCAGCGAGCGGAGACGGCTCAGCGAGCGGGAGACCAGACACTTCTTCCGGCAGATCGTCTCTGCCGTGCACTACTGTCACAAGGTACGGCCCTCGATGGTTGTCCTGGCACCACGTTGTTCTTTTCATATTATAAAAGTGACAGCTGTTCGCTGTAGCATACATAGAGAACTCATAAACTAGAAAGAAGAAAATCACCATCTCCTGCAAGTCTAGAATCCAGGGATAACCCGCTGTGGACATTTTTGCTTGTTTCCTTTCAATCTTTTTCCTCCTCCTCCTCACATTTTTTTTTTTTATTTCAGCATATTATGGATGTTTAGGTTACGTATGTTGCCCTTGCCCCCCCTCCCCCCCAAGTCCGAGTTTCAAATATGTCCATCCTTCGGGTGGTGTGCATTGCACTCTTTGTGTATGCAAATACCCGTCCCCTCCTCCCCCCGCCCCGCCCAACATCCAATAGATGTTATTCTTATATGTGCATTTATGTGTTGATCAGTTAATACCAATTTGATGGTGCGTACATGTGGTGCTTATCTTTCCATTCTTGGGATACTTCACTTAGTAGAATGCGTTCCAGCTCTATCCAGGAGTATACAAGAGGTGCTATATCACCATTGTTTCTTAAAGCTGAATAGTACTCCATGGTATACATATACCACATTTTATTAATCCACTCATGTATTGATGGACACTTGGGTTGTTTCCACATCTTTGCAATTGTGAATTGTGCTGCTATAAACATTTGGGTGCAGGTGTCTTTCTTATAGAGTATCATTTGTTCTTTTGGGTAGATGCCCAGTAATGGGATTGCTGGATCAAATGGTACTTCTACTTGTATCTCTTATACTTTCCTGGATTAAACTTAAGCTCATTATCCAAAATGGGGCACCAAAAGAACAGAAGAACGGGATCCATTTGTACTCACCATCAAATTGGTACTAACTGATCAACACTAGGTTGATCACATGGCAGAAATACTCTCTAGGGATTAGGGGGATGGGGGGGCAAAAGCACTAAAGGGAGGGAAGGGCATGCCTTTAACCTGCATTTGGGTGAGGCAAAGACATAAAGTGTAACTATAATGTTTGTACCCTCACAAAACCCTGGAATAAAAAAAAAAAAAAAAAAAAGATATCTCCATATTGCTTTCCACAGAGGTTGCACTAGTTTGCAATCCCAACAGTGCATGAGTGTTCCTATCTCTCCGCATCCATGCCAACATTTATTGTTTTGGGACTTTTGATAAAGGCCAGTCTCACTGGAGATAAGTGATATCTCATTGTGGTTTTGATTTGCATTTCCCTGATGATTAGAGATGTTGAGCATTTTTTCATATGTTTTTTGACCATTATTCTGTCTTCTTTTGAAAAGTTTCTGTTCATGTCCTTTGCCCACTTTTTGACAGGGTCGTTTGATTTTTTCTTGTTGATTTTCCCGAGTTCTAAGTAGATTCTGGTTATCAGCCCTTTATCAGATTTGTAGCATGCAAAAATTTTCTCCCATTCTGTAGGTTGTCTGTTTGCTCTTGTGACCGTTTCTTTGGCTGTGCAGAAGCTTTTTAATTTGATCAGGTCCCATTTATTTATTTTGGTTGTTGCTGTGATTGCCTTTGGGGTCTTCTTCATAAATTCTTTGCCTAGGCCAATGTCTAGAAGAGTATTTCCAACTTCTTCCTCTAGAATTCTAGTAGTTTCACTCCTTAGGTTTAAATCTGTCACCCAGCGTGAGTTGATTTTTGTCCTCCTCGTATTTATTTTTTATTTAAACTTCTTATTTTGAATAATTTTAGATGTACAGGAAAGTTTCAAAGATAGTACAGAGAGTTCCTGTCTATGCTTCACTCAGTTTACCCGAAGGTTAACATCTTGCATTACTGTGGTACATTTGTCAAAACCGAGACACTAATATTCAAATATTACTTTGAATAAAATTTCAGATTTTATTTGGATTTCACCAGGTTTTCCTCCAATGACCTTTTTCTGTTCCGGGATCCAATCTGGGGTACCACAGTGCATTTTTTAAATATAGTTTGGGTCTTGCTTTTTCACTTAATATTTTAATCTAAACATTTTCATGTGTTATTAAAAATTCTCTGTAATAGACTGTTGGACGTGTAGGCTGTTTCTAATTTCTTGTTATTACAAATAGCAGTCAACATATTTATACATGAATATTTTCCTCTCATTTGAATAATTTACTTGAGAGATTCCAGAAATGAATTACTGGGCGAAAGGTCCTGAACCTTTTTATGTTCCTGGTACCTTTCCTTGCATAGGTTACCTACATACACATGCATTTTATTGCAACATAGCTCAGTGGGATGTGCTCATAATACAGCCACAGTGTAGCTACCCTGGGCCTCTGGAGAAGGAAATGAAGTACACAGCTAATTCCAAGCCGTGTTTCAGCCATTATTATTATTAATCATTTCAGCCACAATTTTAATCTCTTTCATACTTTCCCCAGAACTCTTATACTTGGAACAATCATTTATTTTGAGGACCATGTGACTTGAATGCAACATGGCATCCAGAGTCAACTTCTTTATACAAATGATTATGACATGGGGCCTTCTGGTTTGTTAAAAATTCTGTTTAATTGAGAGTGGCTCTGTAAGTAATTAGAAGACAATCATTCAAATCACCCTTAACCCACGTGAACATTATTTGACCTCTCTGTGCTGACTCAAAAGGTACTTGTGATTCAAACTGTCCAGTACTTTGTATTTTATCATCGGGCATCATTGTAAAGCAGTGCGGGGACAGTAGTTTCATTATTTGAAGTGTGTGAGCACTTGGATTCTGTATGAACGGGGCTATATTAGACTCATTCCACCTCACTGTGAAAACCAGGAATGCAGCAACATTCCTGATGTAAACCAAACTGCTCCTGATATTTACCACTAAAAACCATCAGGTACCTTGTATTTATTTCATATCTCTCCTCCAAGAGACTTGGTTTTGTGCATTTCTGAATTCAAAACACCCCCTTGAAGGCTTGGATGAGACAAAGATTAGTAGAAATACATGTTTTCATTTCTCTCTGCAGTCAGCGCTTTTGGAGATATGGAAAATGGTCAGAGGAAAAGGGAAAAAAACAATTAAGCACCAGCTGTAAATGCTCCAGGTGGTTTGCTCAAATGAGCAGCTTCAATTGCAGACGTCCTCTGGGCCGAATGATGTTCAGAATCATCCAGTACTCCCTGCGATTTGTCCACTCAGCCCCAAATAGTCCCACTGCTCTTCCCATACCCACCCACCCACCCCCTAAAAAGATAATTGGGTCTAAAACCAGCATTGAGCAGGCTGGTTGTTGCTGCTGTGTAGACCACCAGCCTGTGGGTTAATGACTCCATTTCACCTTTCAGCTGGCTGGCTGCTTGTCCCTGCAGGTCAGCCTCCAGCCTTGCCGGGGTCCCCCTGAATGAGAAGGTCAGACGGTGTGGCAGCCACCTGCTTGCTCTGGTGGCTCAGGTCTTGCTGGTCTGTTCTCACACTGGACCTTCTTCCTGCTGAACAGAGAGGAATTTTCAGAATCTTCTCTCCTGGTTACCTAGGAAATACCCTGTTATCCTCAGGAAAGGTCTGGATTGGTCTCATGGGTCAGAATAGATGGGCCAGATTTCTTGCCAGCATTTTGGTGAGGCAGACAGGCAGACAGACAGGCAAGGCCAGTGAGCTCCACACTCTGAGACCCCGGCAGAGAAATCTGCTTCTTGCCTGGGAATCCCGTTCCAGACAGACATTGTTTGCTGCTGCCTGGGATTATATTGCTTTCACACAGTGGAATTACATTCCGACAAAGAATCCCCCTGCTGTTTTACAGGCTCTGGGGGAGAAGAGATTCCAGTCATTTTTCCTTTAACCACACAGCAAGTGACTAATGCTCTCCTGTCACTGGTCGGTCACTGGCCACGGAGCAGCAAGACACTGAGAGCAGCCTGAGGATGGAGGGGAAGACCACCGGGCTGGCGCATTTCTTTAATCTGTCAAACATTTCCCTTTGCTCACCCTCCTCCTACCTCTTTCTCTTGCTCTCATCCCACCGCTCCCATTCAGTTCCTTCCTTGTCTTCTCATTTCAGAATGGTGTGGTCCATCGGGACTTGAAGCTGGAAAATATACTGCTCGATGACAACTGCAATATTAAGGTAAAGCTCTTGCCTCACTGATGGATATGCAGGGCCTGGGTATGGCAGCTGGGTAGAGCTTAATCCGCTCCAAGCTGCAGCCTGGAAACAGGCAGCCACTTCCTTCCCCAGCAGGCAGCTGGAGAAAGTCTCTTTGCTTGAGCTCTCAGTTCACACAATTCAATTTGACAAGCATTTATTGATCTCCTACTACACACCAGGGAAGGTTCTACCTGTTGGGTTAAAAAGAGATGACGAAGATACAGTCCCTGCCCGCAGGAAGCTCATAGTCTAATATCATCACCATAAAGATACAACCAACATATTTCATATGTATTTTATATCATAGTTGCCTTATATCACTTATATTCAATCTTTAGGACAACCCTATGAGACAGGCACTGTTACATCATTTCACAGAGAGGGAAACTGAGGCACAGAAAAACTAAGTAACTTGCCCAAGGTAGTGCAGTGGTGGTAAGTAGTTGAGTTGGGATTTGAAGCCATGTCTGTCTGATTCATGAGCCCAAGTTCACTGTGCTCGATTTGCTGGCAGGGCCCTAAATTATTTTAGAGTTGGAACTGTTTCCCTGGCCACTTTTTTGTCGCCCTCCATGGCTCCCACTTCTCCCTGTCAACCCTCCCACCCCTGAAGCCAGCCATGGACCTGGGAAACTGACCAGAGTGAGGCTGGAGTTTGCTGCTGGGAACTAGCAAGTTCTGGGGTTTACTTTTACGGAGAGTATTATTGCTGGCTGCCGCTGGGGCTGGAGAAAGTTCTCCTGGCCAACAGGGTTCAAGTGCCTCCTGGGGAGCCCTCCAAATGTCCCTTTGATCACGTCTACAAAATAAGCAAATACAGTTTCAAAATAAACGGAGCTCGCCGCATGGGTTTCATTATGAAATGGCCTTAGCACTCCCGGTACCAGCAGGAGCCTCCCAATTGGCCGCTGGTGACGTTAGTGGCTTATCCCTGGTCCCCGGACAAAGCATGGGAATGACTTTTTGTTGCTGTTGGTGCTGTCGGTGGAGGGTTGTATGATGGGGGCACTTATTTCCTTGCTTAGAAGGATGGGGTTGCCTTGGTGTTTGGATTCTCTTTGCAGATCATGATGGCAACCGTTAGTCACCAATATCCTTTGAGAGGCCCCTGGAAGCCGTGTCCCAGTGAACTCTTGTTCTTGCCGGGTGGTTGACCTTAGTCACACATTTCTGTGTAGTGCGTAGAGTACGGAGGAAATAGTTGGTCCGAGCAGTTCTCTGTAGGAACTATAGGCTGTAACATGTCCCTGAAAACATCGTTACGCTGAAGTGGGATCTCAGGGTCTCTCCATTTCTGGTGAAGTGGCTGGATCCTATTAGAAGCAGCACTGGCTGTAGAGTTAGGAAATTCTGGGTTGTGTGGCTTACTAGCTGTGTGACACTGGGAAAGCCACTTAACCCTGTTTCCTCTGCTGTAAGCTGGGGCAACAGTAATACCTCCAGGCTTGCTTTGAGGACTAAAGAAGGGGCACTCTATCTTTAGTTTTATAAACTGCTAAGCACTCGTGTGCAAATGAGTCAAGGTTTAGAGCAGTGGCTTTGGAGTTGGATAGCCTGGGTTTGACTTGCCACCCTGCCCCTTAGCAACTGCAGGACTAGGGGCAAATTACTTGCTGATTTAGGCCTTAGTTTCCTCATCTGTCAAGTAGGGATGCCAGTTTCTGCAGTCCCTGTCTCTGAGGATTATTGTTTTTTTTTTGGTCAATGAGTATCTTCTGAGCAGTTAGTGTGTGCAATGCCCTGTGGCCAGTTCCGGGGAGTCAATAACAAATGTGAAGATTTTAGACAATACAATAGTCAAAGCAATTAGTGGTCGACTATTGCTGTACCAGGAGCCTGCTTCGGTGTCTGGCCATTGCAGACGGAATGGAGCCAGAAGTCAGCTGTTCTGAAGGTGCCTGGGTCCTGGGTAGGCCATGGCTGGAAAATTGGGTCCTGGCTTGAGAGTGACATTCTAAGGGTTTGTGTCATTGACTTTGGTGACTTTCTCTCCAGATTCTTCCTGCCACCTGCCCCAGAGCTCTCAAAATTAAATGTCATCTTTACAAGGCCTGGAATGTGAGCCTCTCCCCTGGGGATTGGGTTCTGTGGTACAGTGTGACCTCTTGGTCCCATGATGTAGTCCCAGAAGTGATAAGACACATAGCTTCCTACCGAGTCATAGAATTCCCCAATGGAGGAGAAGAATGGTTAGAATTCTGAAAGCAATTGTGCAGGGCAACAATGAGGCCAGAAGAATGGCTCATTTGCACAAGCAATGGGGCTCCCCTATACCAAGTCCTTCAACCTAGGATCCCTGTGCATTATGTAGGGAAGTAACACAGAACATCATAAAAGTTAATGTTTGGGCGTATCTTTCCCCTTGTCTTTCCCTTAAGAATTTCCCAAGGGAATACACACACACACACACACACACACACACACACACACACACACACACACACACAAACAGAAACCAAATCTTCCCCTTATCAAAACTTTTAAATTCCTTTTCTGCTTGTTCAAGTAATCCTACCCAGGTCTGAGAGTTCTAGAGCTTGAAAGAATTTTGAGGGTCATTTTCCAACCCCTTATTTTAATGATTACGACCCAGAAAGTCTAGGTGATGTGCCCAAGATCACACAGTGAATCAGTATAGACTATATTATCCTGTCATCGTTTCCCCAGACTGTAGCATAGTGCTTGGCATACTGTAGGTACTTCAGAGCTGCTTGAATTTGGAATAAAGAAACGATGAGCCAGGATTAGAACTCACATGTTTGACTTCCAGGCAAATTCTCTTTTCATCCTCTCCCACCCACTCCAAGGTTTTTTTAAAATGTGCATCAGCTGGCGTTGATTTGTCTTCTGGCTGTATGTTCTCAGCTCTTCCTGACTCAGCATTTTGCTGAAACATATTTAGAAAGGGCCCTTGCTGACACAGGCAGGCAGACATGTGGCCACAAGCTGGCCTCTGTGTTCAAGAGAGCCCAGGCCATCAATGTCTGGACCTGGGGGACCACAGAAACAGATGAGCTATCAACTATCAGGACACGCATCGAGGGCCTCTCTTGGAGCTGCCTCTGGTACCTTCTCTAACTGTGGATCCATCTTCTATGTTTAAAGAGTGGAGGACTTTGGCCCAAGAAGCCTATAAAAATGCTACTGGTTTAAACTTGTCACATGTCACTGCAATTTTGGTAAGAGCCATGTAGCTAGTTCCTTTCCCCTTCCTTGTCTGATGTCGATTTGCAAAGAGCACATCTGGCATTGGAAATTATTTATCTGGCCACCGCGAGAGGGTGTGGCTTCTAAAAATATTCACACAGTTGGTCGGCAGAAAGAATGAGAGCAATGTGCTGCTTTGGGTTGCATTCCGTACTCTGGAAGCCTGTCTACTAAAATAGACACCCAGCATAGCATTAATTTGCAATTAATAAAACACGGGGCAGAGTCACATCCTACTCTCTGGGAGAATGAAATGCTGACAATTCTCATAGAAGGCTCCTGTAAAAACGCCTTACAATGAGAAGAAGTCCAGGCACCAGGGTCAGCTGACCTCCTCAAAGAGGGCTGGGAATCTGCTGAGCTCCCAGGGCTCAGAGTAGAGGGGCATAAGGGAAATGGCCTGTGGCCCCCCTATGACAATGGAAATGCAGCTGCCGCGGATAAGAAAAGAAGCTTTGAATGGCCAGGGCCAAGACGAGAGAGAAACCTCTGAAGCTTAGCAAGACCAAGTGGGGCAGCTAAGAGTCATGGGCCTCTGGGCTTTGATGATATGAATGTGAGAACTCTGTGTTCATGCATTAATTAATCAGTTCATTTGTTCATTTATCCATTTGTGTGTATGTCTGCCCATGCATACCTACATCCGCTCAGCCATCCCTACGGTTTGTTCATTGAGAAATTGAACCTGTCCTTTGGGCAATGTTTATTCAATCTCTGAGTACTTGGCCCCGTGTTGGGGATTTAATAGTGAGCTAGAATGGCCAAATCCCTGTCTTTTTGGGACTCAGAATCTAGCAGTTGTTAAGTCAGCAGTAATACTGAGCTATGAGAAGGATACAGAGGTAAATGAAGTTGATATGGTACCTGCCCTAATGGGCTTAGAATTCCAGTAGGGGACGTCAGCAACAAACGAATAAATACATATTGTAATTGAGGGTGAGGATGGAAAATGGAGTTTCTCTTTTAGTTAGAGTGGTCGGGGAAGGTCTCTGGTATAGGACTTAAATTCCTCACATCCACCAAGTTTCCTCTGGCTTCCTGACCTTGGCATACTCTCTGTCTGGAATGTTCTTCCCATTCCTTTTTGCCTGCCCTTCCTTTGGGGCTCTGCTTGAATGCTTCTTCTTCCAGGAAGCCTTCTTGGATCCTCATTCTTTGGCAGGACCAGATGGCCCTCTGTAATATGTTGTAGAGGTGCTGAGAAGAAAGTGGTGGGTCTGTCCAGCTGGATGGACCAGAAAGCCTTCATGGAGGAAGTGGTAATTGGACTGGGTTTTGAGGGATGGGTAGGAGTTTGATGGAAAGGAACATCATAATGGCCTCTCCAGGGGAAGGAATGGCAAGCACAGGAACAGGGCATGGAGACTACAAAAGGAAAGTAATGTTTACTGAGCCCCTGCTAGAAGCAGAGCCCTGTGCCGGACTTTCCATAGCCTTATTTCATTTGGTCCTCAGAATGTCTCCACTGGGGTGGGTCTGGTTACTCCCATTTTATAAATGAGGAGGCTCTTGCAGCTAAAGAGTGATGGGACTGGCTACAAACCTATGGCTATAAGAGCAGATACCTGATAAATTCTACCCTCTACTGCCACCACCCAAATTTGCCCTAAATCCAAAAGGGCATCACATGAGGGCACTATTTTGGTCTTCGCTCTAGTCAGCTTTACCTTGTCCGCAGGCAGGCTTGCGGACAGCTGTCCCTGGGAGAGACTCTCCAAGTGCTGACGGTGGCTGAGGGCCAAGCTGCCCAAGTTGCAGTGGCCAGAGCAGGC